GCAAGCGAAGGGGTGTGCCGGAATGGATGCGGCGGGCGCATGCGAACGCAACAACTGCGGCCTTCGGGAGAGCTCCCTACGGGGCCACGAAACGTGTAATGGGTGTGCCGAAATGGGTGCGGCGGGCGCATGCGGACGCAGACACTGGAGCCTTCAGCGGAGCTCCCGATGGGGCCACGAAACGTGTAATGGCTGTGCCGAAATGGGTGCGGCGGGCGCATGCGGACGCAGCCATTGGGGCCTTCAGTGGAGCTCCCTATGGGGCCTCGAAACGAAACGTGAGGGGTGTGCCGACATGGGTACGCCGGGCGCATGCGAACGCAGCCACTGGGGCCTTCAATGGAGCTCCCCGTGGGGCCTCGAAACGTGTGGGCGCATGCGAACGCAGCCACTGCGGCCTTCAATGGAGCTCCCTATAGGGCCACGAAATCGGTATGCCGAAATGGGTGCGGCCGGGGCCTTCGGTGGAGCTCCTTACGGGGCCACAAAGCGCGCTGATGGGTGTGTCAGCGATCAGAACTACGATGTTGGTGATGATGACGTCGACGAGTATGATGCTGATGCTGATGCTGATGCTGATGCTGATGCTGATGCTGATGCTGATGCTGATGCTGATGCTGATGCTGGTGCTGATGCTGATGCTGATGCTGGTATTGATGCTGATGTTGATGCTGATGGTGATGGTGATGGTGATGATGTTGATGCTGATGATGCTGGTGATGCTGACGGTGATGATGATGATGATGATGATGATGATGATGATGATGATGATGATGATGATGATGATGATGGCAATGGTGATGGTGATGGTGATGGTGATGATGATGGTGATGATGATGACGACGACGATGATGATCGTCATGCTGATGATGATTATGATGATGATGCGTATGATGATAATGATGATGCTGATGAGGATGAGGATGATGGAGGAGGGAGAGGGGGGGGGGAGGAGGAGGAGGAGGAGGAGGAGGAGGAGGAGGAAGAAGAAACGCGGGCACTGACTCTTCAAAACGAAGACCCAACACGACAAAATGCTCCATCAGAAACTGCTCGATCGACTCCCTCCCTCCCTTACGTACCTAATAGATTCCGGAATCCTGAACCCTCCTGACCCTCCCGATCCTCCTTTCCTCCCTTCCCTCCTTCCCTCCCTCTCTATGTCTGGCTCCTCCCTCCCTCGCACCTTTCCCCTCCTCGGTGAAGACCTGTGTCCGCTTCATCCCACCCTCCTCCTTGAATAGGACAATTGATGTCCAAACCGTTCGACCCGTGGAACGGCTCGCTTGTAGTGTGCCCCTCAGATGCGGTGACGGGGTGGCTCAGGAAGCGCGGGCGGCTGGCTGAGAGGCCAGCACGACATCCTGGCCATCTCGACAAGCAGATAGGTGGTGTGAACGAGGTCGCCAGTGGTAGGTGGTGGATGGTAAGTGGTAGATGGTACGTGGCGGATGATATGTGGGTGTTGGCAGCCAGGGTGCATAAAATGGAAGATGGCGAGAGCACGTGCTAGGTGGTGCTAGGCTGTAGGTCTTGGCACCAGGTGGTAGCAGGATGTGGATAGTGGCAGGTCGAAGGTGCTCGGTGGTCTGTAGCGTGTGGTAGGCGTTAGGTGTTGGCTGGTCGGTAGGAGGTTGTAAGTGGTAGGCGGTGGGCGGTAACTGATGGGTGGTGGGTGGTGGTGGTAGGTGGCGGCTAGTAGGTGGCGGGTGAACGGTGGAGTGTGGAGGGTAGTAGGTGGTAGGTGATGATTTGCGGGTGGAAGTAGGTAAATGGTCGGTGGTGGGTGGTACTTGTCTCCCAGAACATGCGTTGTAGATGACTGGCGTCCTGGAGCCTCAAGTAGGTTGCGCTATAAAAATCGCAATCCGTCGCAAACAATTGGAACTCTGGCGCGACGCGCACACGTGATTTCGCGCTCGAACCGTACAGATCGTAGACCTTCCGGGGCAAGTCAAAGGTCGCCTTTCTAGCCAGATCGTACAGATCAAGGCATAGCTAATTGGCGATCAACAACGAGTCAGGATTACTCTCCGCAGATCAGACTCTTGCGAAGCTGGAGGGAGGACTACACTCTGGCTAGAGGAGGTCACAACAGCCCATAATCAAAGAATTCGGATTTCTGCGAATGGCTTCTGGCGCTGGCAACCCTCCTTGCTTCGCCAGCGCCGCCCATTTTCGGTTATGATTATGTACCTTTCCACCCTCACGGGTCCGAGGGCGATGGGAGGACACTCTCAAGCGAGATGAACACACTGGGAAATCAAATCAAAGAAAAATGGCCAGGGCGAAGACGGAAAAAACTGATGAATCATTATCAGAACCTCTGGTAGGAGATGCCCGTTCCGGAACAAATCACATCCCATCAACACGTCTGACACACTTTGGCACTGCCTGACAGCCATGAACCCTGCAAAGATACCTGGATGGACTGAACAAAACATCAAACATCGATCCGCCACCTCACTTGCAGCAACTGGTGTGTGTATGTGTCGGGTCATTCATCTTTGTTCGTCCGTTTCGCTTCGTGCAGTACACTTACGGCTACCTGATGCATCCAAACCAACACGCATTCGTGATTTGAGCTGAGTCCCTGCTTTTGTTGCCTTCAGGTGGTGCCAAACCCAAGTTTGGGGAAGGACCGTCCGTGGCATCCGCCCCTCTCCAACGCCACCATGGCGGCTCCAAGAGGGTTTCGTGAACAAAAATTGCCCCAAATGGATTCCAAGACGGCTAGGCGTACTTCCAAGACGGCCGCAATGGCCACAAGACGAACCAGAAGGCCCACAAGACGCCCCCACGAGGACCCCAAGAGGACCCCCAGGAGGCCCCGAAGACGCCAAACGAATTGGTTTCTCATACGTTGTGGAAAAACTTCAGCGGTGGCGGCTCCTCGGGCTTCCGAACCCTCGCGACGGCCCAAGAGGCCTCCAAGATGGCCCCAGGCGGGACTAAGAGGCCACCAAAGGGGCCCCACGACGGCCCAGGAAGGCTCCAAGGCGGCCCAAAAGGCCCCCAAGGAAGCCCCCAAGACGGCCAACATGGCCTCCAAGTCAAACGCGACGGCCCTATACGGCCCCGACAAGGGGCCAATATTGCTTTCAAGACAGCTGCGAGGGCCCCAAGACAGACTAAGGGGCCCCCAAGACGCTCCAAGAGGCCTCCAAGAAGACTCCCAGGAGGGCCCGAAGACACCAAAGTCACTGAGTTAGACACCTCTGCGGACTTCTGAACCTCATCGGGCTCCTGAGCCTGTTGTAAGGTGCGTCCGCACCTCTTCGGGCTTCTGAACCTTCACAATGGCCACAGAGGCCTCTAATCTTGCCCCGAGACGGCTCAAGAGGCCCCAGAGAGGGCCCCACGACGGCGCGAGATGGCACCACGATAGCTCATGGGGCACCCGAAGTTATCCCCAAGACGGCCAACATGACCTCCAAGTCGGACAAGATTGCCCCACATGGCCTCAACGACGGGCCAAGATTGCTTCCAAGACGGCCGCAATGGCCCCAAGATAAAGCGAGAGACCCCAAAGACGCATCGAGAGGCCTGCAAGAGGACACCCAGGAGGCCCCGAAAATGCGAACCGTTGTCGGGAAAAACGTAGCGGTGGCACCTCTTCGGGCTTCCGACCCCCCAAGACGGCCCAATAAGCCTCCCAGCTGGGCCCAAGACGGCCCAAGAGGCCCCCCCAGGGGCCCAGTTCGGGGCAATGCATCCCCAAAAGCCTCCGAGACGGCCCCAAGAGGGTCTCAAAACGGTCCAAACGACCTCCGAGGCGGAGTTTCCAAGACGGCCCAGCGAGACCGCCGAGAAGGCCTCCGAAGACGTCAGACGTGACGGGTCAAGGGCGCGCTAAGACTGCCCAAGAGGTCCCCAAGAGACCACGAGAGGCCTTCCGCAGGCCCGCAGGAGGCACCCAGGAAACCCCCCAAGACCCCATCCAAGAACGCCCAGAAACGCCAAAGAAGAGCCCCACCAATGCTTCCCAAGAGATCCCCACTAAGCCTCCCGCAGAAGTCTTTTGGCACAGTGGCCGCGTTCGATATGCTCCAACGACAGCCCCTCGATAGGAGGGTACATCAACGCCACCACAGGATCGTCAACTTTGAACGCCCGCGCCCGCGATGCTACCATGCCGAAATTCCGAATTGCATCGGATCGTTCATGCGTATCTCGATTGCGTTTGCTAGCCAAGATAAGCCCCACATTGCAAAACCTCATCATATCGATGTGCATCGTGTGCCGTGCAATCCGTATGTAGTGCAGTATGTGCGGTGTAACCTGTGCAATGATAAGCTGTGCAGTGCAAGCCATGTGGGGCGATCTGCGTTGTGCACTCCAAATCATGCAAGACATGTGATTACAGGTATGAGGTAGATGCTACGAGACGGCATCCTCCCCCTCCTCCTACTCCGCCTCCTGCACCTTCTGTTTAACAATCATCTTGTTGTCTTCGCCTCTTCTGCGAGCGCGATGGCGGGTATGCATGAGCGGTCCATCCGGAACTCAGCGAAACCTTATCAGCTCACTATGGCCACACGGCCAGTTCCTGCCTTGACGACGCGGACCGTCGTGTCTGACACCGCGTGACTTATTCAGCCTTTAACTCTTCTGTTATTTCATCAAAGAAAATATCGGAGATCGGTTATCCGAGATCGGAGGTCCCCAAAAGATATCGACCCCAGAGAGCGCTCAACCTGGAACGCCCCCGCCGGAGTCGGTGCCGCGTCGGGGCGGCGCGAACCTCTCGCTCGTAGCTCCTCTCCCCGCACCATCTGCAGCCGACCCTTCTCCTTCGTGTTGCACACACCCCCCTTGGAGGAGCGCGCGCAGTCGCCTCATCCGATCCATCGCGCGAGTCTTGCCCAGAACTTCACTGCAGCGCGGGGGCTTCTCCCCTCCACCCCCTCTCCTACCCCATCCTCCCCAATCCTCACACCATGGAGGCCCGGCTCCGAGGCTTGCGACTCTCCTCTGGCGGCGCACGCGCTCGCACTTGCCTCATGCGCTCCATCAGGTGGATCTCGCTCCGCACGCTCTTGCGGCGCTGGGGGTCCATCAGCTTATACTTGTCGTATATCTTGATAGCTACCTCGGCGGCATGAAGGATGGACGGGGCAACGGAAGGCGTCATCTATTTACCTACATCGATTCTGGCCAGGGCCTGGCCAGGATCGGTGTCGGGACATCGCCAGCGCCCTCCCAGGGGCGAAGCGAAAGCCAGTCGTGCGCGCCGCTCTGGGGATCCTTACCCATTAGAGCATGGCATGGAGGTCGTGTCCTCCTAGGGGAGGGTGGGAGGAGTTAGAGCACTGAGAAGCAGAAGAACGCGGAGGCGGACAGGGCTGGAGAAGGCTGGCAGCGGGGGGGGGAAGAGCTCGAGACGGCTGAGATATGCAGGACAGGAGACAGGACTTTGGAGGCAACTCTGGGAGGTCTTCGCGGGAACGATTGAAGGCTTATAACCCCGATCAAATCAAATGGGCACTGAGCCGGATTAGGCCATACCAAAACCAAGATGAAGTTGGATCAAGTGGGAATGAGCCAGAGAGGGCGGGGTCATGCCAGAGTTGGACGGCTTTCGACCGCGGAAGCGCCAGTGCTGAACTCAAGCCTCCCAGGAACTCCAGCCGAGCAAGGCTGCAAGAGCTGGCCTCGTCGCCACCGTCGCCGTCTTCGCCGAACGGGGACGGCCCCAAGGGGTCCCGAGGTCCGGACGCGCCGCGAGGAGGCACGGGAGCAGCGGGGCCAAGAGGAGAGAAAGACTCAGCGTGAAGGCACGGGGCCTGGAAGAACTGCGCCCTGGGAGGCCCCCATCCCCCTGCTCGGGCCGCCGGTGCCCCTCCCGGGCCCCTGGGCCGTGAGAGCGCGTGGCCCTGGGGGAAGCCCCCCGGGTCTACGACCCGCTTCCCCCGGGAACCTCCAACGGCGACCGCCGAAAAAGCGAAGGTCCGAGGGGATGCCTCGAGAGCCGGCGCGCCTCGTGGGCGCCCCATGCGCTGGCTCGCGGGCGCATCGTGGGTGCCGCGTGCGCCGGGGGGGGCCTCCCGAGGACTCGCCTCGGCGGCGCCCGTGTCCGCCTTTGGGCGCCCCGAGGGCGCCAAAAACCACACGGCTTGCACCACGCATCTGACCACATAGGCTGCACCACTGAGCTTACGCCACACAGCTCACAGGTCATAGCCCACAACACGTAGATTGCACTACGCAGGTTGCACCACATAGCTCATACTACTCAAAGAGCGCACTACACAGATTGTCTCACAAATGTTGCACCACGTAGGCTAAATCACACAATTCACACCACGTAGATCACACACACTCTCTATATATATCTATATATATACACACACCGCACCCGAGAGCTTACACGTCTTGATTGTCGGCGAGCTGGATCCAGCTGGCGGTCGGCTATCGGCGGAGCGCGTCGGAAGCGAATCAGGCACACAAAGCAAGGGAAGGGCAGGAGGGGAAGAAGGGGGAGCTGCGAGACCGCAGGAGCGCCCTCATAACTTGAAGGAATTCTCAGAGCGGGCGCAAATGCACCACAAATCCATGGCCCATGGCGAGGAAGATGAGCCGTGACAAAATCATAAAATCTCCCAGCTGGGAGAGACCAGTAATGTCGTCCAAGCGCAATCGAGCGACCGGACCAACAAGCAGCGACAGGCACCCAAGGTGCATCGGTCACGCAAGTCATGCTTGGTGGCGGCCACGGTCAGTGCCGGCAGCTGGAGTCGACCAAAGGGCAGACGATAGTAGGTCAAGGAGCCAGCATAGTGGAGGTGTGCGCGCGAGGCGCAGGAGACCAAAGAGGTGGACACGGCACAAAATTACCTCTGGGTCGATAGCTTCCACATTCACAGCGCAACAACTCGCTGTTTGCGGCCAACGCTGGCAAACATCTATACTTACACAAGTTGGCTCTTCATCGGCTTCCCACGTGGCCAAAGGAGGGAAAGGAAGCAGGGCCGAGACGGAGGCAGGGTGCGCACGGCACGCCGCAGAAGCTGCGACGGTTGGAAGTGAGAGAGCCGAGCCGCTGAACCCAGCACGCACGAGCAGGCATGCAGAGACATGCCGCAGCTAACAAGAGAAGATACCCGCCGAGACAAGATCATGGCGTAGGGCGTGCAGGGATATGATGTGGCAACGAAGTGGATGGTGTAGGGACCTTAAGCTTACTGCTTAGTGGCGACAGCGCAGAGGGAACTCCCCCTCCTCCCTCTCCTGCCTCACCTCCTCAATTCCGGCCGCCTCGCTCCCCCCCTCCGAACCCTCACTCAAAGAGCAGAGTTCGGTGCAAGGCGCCTTCCGGTTCGTCTCTTTGTGGAGGCCGAAGCAAACCGTTGCATAGGCACCCTGCCCGACCTGCTTGCCCACAATGTAGTCCTGCACGCGCGCGCAGCAGAATCGACAGTCTCGAGAGCCCCGCAGGCCAGGTGAACCTTCAACGGCCAATCCATCGGTGAAGGTAGGCGTTCGGCCTCCTCCTCCTCCTCATGCCCCTCCCTATTCCCCGTTCCCCTCCCGGCACCCCCCCCAAGCCCCAAGCCTTTCTTCTTCACCCTCCTACCCCCTCCCACACCTGCCCCTCCTCCCCCTCCCCCTCCTCCTCCTCCTCCTCCCCCTCCTCCTCCTCCTCCTCCTCCTCCTCCTCCTCCTCCTCATCATTCTCGTCCTCCTCCTCCTCTTCCTTCTCCTCCTCGCTCCATGGGGCCCCCTCCCCCATCTTCCTCCTCCTCCTCCTCCTCCTCCCTCCTCCTCCTCAATTCATTCATCCTCATCATCATCATCCACCACCATCCAACACCTATCATCATCATCATCATCATATCATCATCATAATCCCAAGCATCATCTCATCATCATCAGCAGCATCGCATCAGCATTAGCATCAGCATCATCAGAAGCATCATAATCATGTTCGTGAACACCATAATCATCATCGTCATCATCATCATCAGCAGCAGCATCATCATCATCAGCATCATCATCAGCACTATCATCATCATCATCATCATCATCAGCAGCAGCATCAGCATCATCAGCATCAGCAGAAGCAACATTAGGAGCAGAAAGCAGCATCGTTATATACATAATCAACAACATCATCATCATCATCATCATCATCATCATCAGCAGCAGCAGCATCAACATCATCATCATGATCATCAGCATCATCAGCAGCAACATCATGATCATCATCAGCATCATCATCATTAGCATTAGCATCATCATTATCATCAGCACCGTCAACATCATCCGATTCTTCATCAGAATCAGCATCATCATCATCATCAACACCGTCAACATCACCACAACCACCATAATTACCATCATCATCATCATCATCATCATCATCATCATCATCATCATCATCATCATAAGCATCCTCCTCATCACCATCATCCTCATCGACTGCATCATCAACACCATCATCATCAGCATCAGCATCATCACCGACATCAGCATCATCATCAGCATCATCATCATCAAGAGCATCATCAACATCATCAGCATCAGCATCATAATCATCGACAGCGTCAGCATCATCATTATATCGTCATCATCATCATCAAGAGCAGCAGCATCATCATCCGTGATATCATCATCAGTAACATCATCATCGTCGTCCTCATTCCCATCGTCACCACCACGATCAGCATTATCGCCATCATCATCATCATCATCATCATCATCATCATCATCATCATCAGCATCATCATCATCATCGCAATCACTATCACTATCATCATCATCATCAGCATCATCATCAGCATCGCTAGCATCATCATCAGCATCATCATCGGCTTCATCTGCATCATCAGTTGCATCATCATCAGAATCAGCAGCATCATCAGCAGCAGCATCAGCATCAGCATCATCATCATCAACATCATCAACAACATCAACATCACCAGCATCATCATAAGCATCATCACCAGCATCAGCATCATCACAATAATCATAGTCATAAGCATCATCACCACCAGCATCATCATCATCATCATCATCATCAGCATCACCCTCATCATCGTCATCATCATCGTCAGCACCAGCATCATCATGATCATCATGATAACCATGAACAACAACAACAACTCAATCAGCATCATCGTCGTCATCATCATCACCATCATCGTCATATGAATCGTCAGAATATTCTGCATCGCCAGCATCGTCATCATGTTTCTCACCATAAACAGCATATGGCGCATCGTCCTCATCATCGGCATCATCATCAGTTTAAGCATCAGAATCATCGTCAGCATCAGCAGCATCAGCAGCATCATCAACATCATCAACACCAGCAGCATCATCAGTAGTACGTATCATGAGAATCGTCGTCATCATCACCATCATCATCAAAATCAGCATCAGTATCATCAACATCATCAGCAGCATCATCATCACCGTCGTCGTCAACATCATCATAATCACCGTCATCATCATCATCAGCGTCCCCACCACCACCACCACCACCCCAATCACCACCATCAACATCTTCATAATCTGTATCCCGCCCCCTCCCTCTTCCATATTCATAGTCTGCCTACTCATCCTCCTCCGCGCTCTTCTACTCATGCTCCACCCTAAGAACCCGATGATTAAGCAGAGACGCATATCCCTGCCTCGAGTCCAGCAGGCCTAGTTGTGATTGGGGGAGTCATTGGCCCACAAAATAATCCCACAGATCATCAGTGTGTTTCGCTGTGGAGCGGAAGGCGGAGGAGGCGCCCCTTCTAAGCCCGTGACAGAGAACTCACCAGACGATGTAAGATGGGCCTGGAGGCTGATCTCTGCCAAGTGCGCCACACAGATCCAAGGAGACGCGCGCGTAGACATGCACCAGGAGAAACTGCACACAACACATCTCGGCGATTTCGCACCGAACAGCGAGCCCCAGAGCTACTCCCAGCGGCAGGGGGGCAGACCGAGCCATCCTGAAATATCTTATTAGATGGGGTGGGGGAGAGCAGGGCACCTGAAAGAAAGCGCAGACACAGCCCAGACAGGCTGAGGCAGTGCGCCTATTAAAGCGCCGATTGTGCATATTGGGCTCGTATGGATGATGGCGACGACAAGGCGAAGGATGACGAGGATACCAGCGTGGATGACGGGGAGGGCAGCGATGGGAGCCGGTGGACATCGAGTAGGAAGAAAAGCACGAGGGCGAGGAGGAAGAGATGGAGGAGGACGAGTCCGAGGAGAAACAAAGCGGAGGAAGAGAAGGAGAAGGACGACAACGACGGAGGACGGTAAGGAGCCCGAGGAAAAGGACGTCGAAGACGGGGGGAGGTCCTCGTGATCTTTTGAGGCTACCCTGGGGGCTGTCTGGGGCATCTGCGGCTGTTTTGGGACATCCTGGGGGCCTATTGGGGTCCTTTCGGGGTCCTCTTAGGGGGCTGCTGTGATTTTTTTGGGCTGCCAGGGCGTGTCTTGGTGTTATGGGGGAAGCTCTCTCGGGCCGTCTTGGCGCTACCTTAGGCTGTGTTGGGCCGTCTGGGGGGGCTCCCGGGGCTCGCTTGGGGGACCTTTTGGGGGCCTTCCGTGGGTCCTTCGGGGGCCCTCTCGGGGTTGCTTTGCGCCACGGTGGGCCCCTCCAGGAGCGATCCCCAGACGATGCTGACTCGGAGCCCCCCCCCAAAGCACTTGCTTGAGGATGTCCAAAACAAAGCGGCCAGTTCCAGAAACCTGGCGGGACAAGAGCCGGAAGCGTCGCTTGTGTTGCTTGTCAAGACTGTTGTCCGGCAACGTCCAGCTGCGATCGTCAAAAAAAACAGGAGAGGAAGCACAGACGATCCTCCGACCCTATCTTCTCCGACCCCATCTGGGAGGCCTAGAGCTTCTCAGAGGCCCCCTGGGCCCGTCCAAGGTCTCCTAGAAGACCTTCCAAGAAGGCCTTTCCAGAAGGCCCCACCTTAAAGAAGGAACTTCCAAGAAAGCTCACGCCTTCTTGACGGCACCCCGCCCTCCCGGAAAGGCCACCCAACCTCGTGCCATACCCTTCGTGCGCGCGCCGCCGACTTGTTGTTTGAAAAAGGTGCACAGCAAAGGCAGCACGAATCGGTGAGCATGCGCCTGTATCGGATACACCTCACGTGCCGATCAGCACGAAGGAGGCCTGACTGAGCAGGGTCGTGCTGTGTGCCTTCACTCTGCGTTCCGACCTCTCCCGCGTGGCGACGCCCCCCCCCCACGGCGGCCGTCCTCCACCGAGCCGCCAGTCAGCGGGCGAGGCTCCGCGTCCCTCGCGCGCGCGCGCCCTTCGCTCGCGCCGCCCTGCGCTCGGGACTCCGGCATCTGCGCGCTCCGCAGGCGCCCTGCCCCTTCCTCCTGGCCTCCTCCCTTCGCCCTCCCAGTGTGTCTTCATCCTCCTGATCCTCCTCCTCCTCCTCCTCCTCCTCCTCCCTGCTGCTGCTGCTCCTCCACTTCCTCATCCTACAACAAGCTGCTGATGGCGGCTACTGACAGCGGCTGCTGCTGCCCCTGCTGCTGCTGCTGCTGCTGCTGCTGCTCCTCCTCCTCCTCCTCCTGTTCCTATTCCTCCTCCTCCCCTCCTCCTACTCCTCGTCCTACTACGACTACTACGACGACTACGACGACTACTACGACTACTACGACGACGACTACTACTACTACTACTACTACTACGACTACTACTACTACTACTACTACTACTACTACTACTACTACTACTACTACTACTTACTACGACTACTACGACTACTACTA